TGTTCATTGACATTTTGAGTGCTCTTCATTTCAGTGGTTTTTCTTTAAAGCACATAAGTGATTTATTGTTGCATTAAGAGGATACAACAAATACATTTGTCAAGCATTTCCTTTACTTACAAGCTTTATAAATTAATGAGTGCAAAGACTGTAGTTATGCAAGATATGTAACACACATTTAGGACGTTAGTGGGCAGAAAAATGTGCTTCTGGATATCCATGCCAGTTTGTGATATACAGCTCCCCCACAGAAAAGCACTATATATAGTCCAGTGTAAAGCACTAACACTGTATTCATACACAACTTCCCCAAAAAATAATAATGCCTTCCTTTTTAACTACAAGGAAAGCATTTAATTAAAGATTACATAATGAGAATCTTTTGATAAAGACATCCTTTATTCTATAGAATCACATTGCATTACAGCAGCACTCAATGAAGGCTCCAGTAACTTTAGCATTATTATTTTGTTTGTTTGCTTGCTTGAGATATCCATTTATAAGATTAATTAAAACTATAGTCAACAACAATAATACTTTAAACCATCACACTGCACTCAGAAATACACCTAAGATGCAAAAATACATTTCTATTGGCCCTTTTATCCTTGTTACTTTTTAACCGTGATATAACCAACATTAAGTGGACAATTACTTAAAATAATAAAAAACAGAAAACCCTCTATGGGTAGGCACTCAAAGCTATTGTGCTTACTGTTCTAAAAGGAGCAGTTATACAGTACAAGGACATATACAGTATGAGACATCCAGCTAAATGTTTACCCACTGACCACCTTGAAAGTTTTAGTTTATCAGTTAAATATGACTTTAATTTCAGCATTTTTGTTTCCACCTTACGTAGCTGTGTGTTCCTGTCAGCTGTATCACTGTTCTTAACTAACTAAAATAATTTTGGTGAGCATTGGTATCATTTATCTGAAAAAAAGGAACTTCTCTAAGATGAAAGCAATAAAGGATCTTTGCTCCTGAAATTTTCTGAAAGAAAGTTTCCTGACATGTCGAGCCTTTATTTTATCTAATAACTTGGCTACATACCTTGATAATTTTACTGTTCTATCATGTGCATTATGATTTATATGCATTTCCTGTGCTTATCTTATGCATTGCTATAATATTGTTTCTATAAACAGTATACTCCACCATATGATTGGTTTTACAGTAGTTTCAAGCTTTAGGATAAAGAATCTTCTCAAGTCAATTCTTTTCTGCACTTCAATATAATAATATACTCAGTGCAGTTTATTCTTGCTGTAGCAGGACTGACATATAATCAAATGTTCTGACCAGCTATCAAGTCCTCAGGTGGTACAGTACAGTTTAAACCATGTACAGCATACAAATACTTACAAATAACACTAGTTTTATTCATAGCTTGTCTTTATTATTATATTTTTTTAAATGATAGTACATGTGTTCACTATGTACTCTGTCAAGAGTTGTAGGATTTTTCTTTCCAGAAAATAGTTTAAATTTGTCTTAAAAACCTGACAAAAACTTCAGCAATTCTTGTCTTCACCTTTCCTGACTATGGAAGAATTCAGTTGGAAAACAAATGTACCTTAAATAAACCTGTTGTCAATAAGTATGTAAGTTGTGTAAATAACCATGCAGATGGGACACATTTTGAACTCAGTCTTAAGTTACCAGGCACTCTCAACTACAATAGCACAAGACATGGTTTTTAAAGGTGATAGGAAATGAAAAAGATTGGGGTAGTGGTCGTTTATGTTTTCATTATGTGGTGGGAAATTGTCTTTTATCAAATCACACATAATGCTTTTTCTGTATCTCAGATTATTTGGTAAAATCTTCAATACTGTTAATTTACTAAGAATAAGCTGAAATTATAAAAGGATATTGAGTAAAACTTAAGGGATAGGTAGAAGAAGGGCCCTGAATTAATTACATTTTCAAGTTAGTGACGCTGCTGCTTCAGACACAAGGTACAAAAACATAAAATGCACGGAAAAGAATTTAGAATCTCCTGGGTGTCCTTTTGTCCATGTGAAAAATGGCAGAAACTGAAAACCAATCTCAGCCCATTAAATGCAAGTAATTCTCAGTGAGACATGGCTCTTCCATTAAAGATCCATTTCCTTGTCCTCATATTTCCTTCAATAAATGTTTTTTTCAAACTGTCGTACAATACTAAATGTATACCAAACTGCACATTTAAAGCATCTCAGATCAGTGTCCAAATAAAAGCCTTTAAAAGCAAGAAGCAAGCACTTTGTGTCATTTTTAATTGACAAAGAATTTATCCAGCTCATAAGTGTTTGCCTATGTTTGTCTTTCTATGGTCCTACAGAAACTGAACTTGTACCACTTCTGTTGAAAAACAAAATAATCCAGGAATAGGGAACTGTGAAATGTTAATATATAATATGATATTTCTGATTACAAACACCAGTCTAGTATCTGTTTTCTATAAATGTCACTGTAATTAAATGTAAAAGGCAGAGGATTCTAGACATTTGTCAATCTGTTGTAATTTTTTATATATTGATTAGAACCCAGGAACAGCACAGGGAACTCACGTGATTTTGTAATTAAACCTAATCTACATTCATTAGCTCACAGACATAATATCTTTATTAGGAGATGTCTCATAAGTCTTTGTACTTCACTTAATCTCTTTCTGCCCTTTGGCAATCCTTCATTCTTTCTTTTAAAAGCTTTGTCTCAATGCCTTCAATGAGATACACATTATCTCTGATGTAAAAATAAAAAAACCTTGGCCCGAATCGCTTTCTGCCTTCCATTATTCTTAGAATTGTATATCATTATGATTTTTTAAAATCACCAGTTGATTGTTATTACTGGTGCCTTTCCTTACATAATAGGGATTTATTATTCACTGAAATTGTGTGTTTTTGTACATGTATCCAGTCTTAGGAGCTGTAACTGGATTTAGCTTTACAACCGTCTAAGCATCAGCTCTTCAAAAAAACAGAAAATGGTGTGTAAAATGAGATCTTCCTTCTTTGTCATGTGTAAATATTTTCTGCATATAATATCTGAGCACAGAATGAATGCTTTGTGCATCGTTGAGATAATTTTCAGTCTCTAGTTCTCTACCAGTTGGCACCAACTGATGTTCTTGGAGTTATGACATGTTATGAACACAGGCACCTTGAAATTTGCATTAACCCTTCACTTAGCATTTTCTAAACTGACTTCAGGCAGATCTTCTCCACCCCAGTTTTAAGGTATGGAGTTTCCAAAGGATGTCTGCAGTCAACTTTACTCCCACCTTAGTTGCCCTAACCTAGAAACATTCCTGATGACATTTCTTACAGTAAGCAAAAACTCCACAAACTCCACAAGTATACTAAAGCCTTTTTCTTTCTGCATCCCTCCTCCACCCCAACTGCATGGGTGTACTAAGCCAGGTGGGTTGAGCCAAATCTAACTATGACTAAGGACTGAGTAAACATTTTTTAATTTAATTTTTGCACGTTGGTATACCCTGTGAACCATAATTACCACTACATTGGCCACCAATCTGAAATAAATTACCATAAAATGTGTTTCCCTTTACCCATCAAAGTTTTCTGAAAATGCCTACAGAGTTAGCCAGAGTTAAAGCACAACACAATAATACATTTATTTAATCAGGTTTGATCCGACAGATGTCTGACACTGTGGGAAAATAAAACTTTATAAATGCAAATGTAGGCTTTGAGCTGAAAAATTCAAGAAAAAGTCAAGAGAAGACATTGTGTCTGATCAGACAGAAAGGGAAAACAAGTAAGACTGCCAAAAAAAAACTTCATTGCAGTGTGTTATTTGTTTGTAGAACATTTGAAACTTACTATATATCATTACTGGAAACTGACTTTAGTTTAAGAAAGACAAGGCTTTTGTGGTTTTGTATATGATTTTACAAGGTTCATCAGACACAAAAGTTACAAAAAGTTAAAATGTCAAAAGTAATCAAGTTTAAACTTCATTTTTATTTTAACCTATTTAAGTTTTAACCTATTTTAATTAAATTTAAATTTATATAAATTAAATTTAGGATTTTTGTCCAGAAAAATAATTCAGACTTCACAAGCCTAACTGCAAAACAAATGGGACTCAAGTTAAAATCTGGCCTTTGTATGTTTGCTTCCAGAAGCTATTATGCTTCTGAAGTGTTGTTATAGAGTTTGGGTCTTTTAGAATTGTGACATATTTGACTCTGCAGCTGTTATAGTGAGACATTTCACTCAGTCAACAGATGTTTGGTGGACATCTCGCATATTTCCAGAATAAAACTGGGAATCATAATTAAAGATAGAATGTGCACACATTAATACCCAAATAAGTACACTCATAGTATTCACACAAATTGCCAATATAATCAAATAAAATAGTACCGTATATACAAAAGGTACTATATTTAATAATAAGTATTGCTCACATTGTTAAATGGTCTGACATTTCTTTTGACCTCCATCCTAAGGGCACCCCTGCTACATGTTTTTTTTTCCTAATTGCAAACTAAATTACAGTATCTTGGCAGAAAAGAAGAATTTGCTGAAGGTAGATTTGGAGCCTTTGGTGATAATATTTAAGACATATCTTTTCTAGTAATAACATTATTTAAAAAAGAAACATTTTAAACAATTGAAATATTTAAATGGCCTGAAATGAAGAATGAGTCTGTTTTAATTTTCAAACTGTAATTACATTGATTTGGCTGAATAGCTTTGTATTTAATCTGTTTTTTTTAAATATCCATTACACAATAAATGTTTAGTTTCAAACAAAATATGCTTCAGGATTAGTCAGAATGTGGACGATTCCTGTTCATGGAATCTTAACTATTAATATATTACTGGTTCACTTCAGTCATGTGGATGTTTTAGATTCATGTAAGCAAGTTTTACTAACAGTTGTCTAGCTAACCTAGACATTTCTGGCTAGTGTAACCAAGGAAAAAAACAGCATTATTTGTTGTATTTCTAAGTAGTTAACAATGACCGTAACCTTACCTTTTAGTTGAGAGAAGATGTGAATTATTTATGTAGAAAGGCAGGTTTAGAAAGACTGATCCAAAAATGGACATCTGGCGAATGTGACTTCATGCCTGTACCGAACTATGAAAAGGACACAAATTAAAAGATAGCCATCTCTCTCCTGCTGTGACAAGACAAATTGCTTTGAGCATAAATTATTAATCCTGGTCCTTTCAGGACTTTCAATTGTATCAAATTTTATCTTTCAATCACTTGAATTATAACAAAATTCTATTTATCAAATCACAATTGTATTTACACCGAACATAACGTGTCTTGAAAAATGAAGAAAATTACATAAAAATAGTTTGCCCTACTCTCACAAAACAGTTTTGAGATCCTGCTCAAAGTGTTTTCACAACGTAACCCAAATATTTCCCATTTTCTTTGATTTTGAAAACTGAAATATTTTGAACTAATTTTTGCTTGAATAATTAAATAATTATGTTCACGTTTCTTAAGCTAAGCAGTAAGCATGCATGAGAAGTGAAACATATATTAACACGTCAGGCTGAACAGATGATACATTTAAATTAATATCACTCTGGATTTTCTTGCTTATCCACAATAATTACCTTTTGGAAATATTAATTTGTAGTGATTCTCATCTACTTTAGCTCTGCATTTTCACTTGAGTGCTTTCATGTCTTGATATTTTATTAGGCAAATTTCACTGCAAAATGAACTATATTGGCATTTAACTTTGAAGCTCACATGCAGAAAAGTAGAATTCATTTAGTAATTAAGGTAGTTAAATTCTCATGGAGAACAGATTAAGAAAAAAGATTTTACAGTAGTTACAGATACTGATAGAACTTTGCAGTTTTAACTTCATTATTTTATATGAGAAAACCTTATTTTATATACTGTAGTGTCTTTTATACATTTAGCTTTCCACAAAATGAAGCAATCTAATTCTGAAAAAAGCAAGCAAATAAAAGTGGTTCATTTACTGAACATGAGCTAGAGAGCTTCTAATGTGAGCCCAATAGCATCTAAAGGGAAATGCTGATACCTCACATTTTTTGCACTTATCTGTGTAGATCTAAAACAAGATTTATTAGATCTCAAATCCCTTCTCAGTCATTAAAACTGTTGAAAACAGAACTAGTGTGCATTAAATGTTACTAAATGTCATGATAACACTATGTTCTAACGATATCTATGAATTCTTTATAAGCATCTAATTAACAATTAATTTGATACATTTTAAACATTTTTATTAATTTATATATTAGCAAACCTCAGTAAAAATACATATGACTCATGTTAATAAAATATGTACACATTCAACATACAGTATCACCATTATGTCATAAAAACTTTCAGAGCATCAGAAATATGTAATAGGCAACTAATCATTTATACTGTAAATACTGTCACAGTTAACATGTTACTTTACGGCTTATTCATGTGTTGTAACAAATTTATTGAACATCCATTAAATAACATTATAAATTCATGGTGAATTACATTTTAATATTAAGGAACACCAATGCTGTCATTCTGATCTCAAGTTTGTTTGTTTTTTGTTCCTGTATTAAAAGGTATTTTACTGTACCTATTATATTGTATTATTTTGTTGTTTTACCAAATAATTTTCCCTTTTCTATTCTGCCTCCTTGGGGATTTCTGATTGTTTTGGTGGTTTCTGAGATGGTGGGCTGGTGATGAGACAAGAGAGAGGAGCAGAGATCATCGTATGACATGGGAGAAGAAAAAAACAATAACTAATGTACAAATTTCAGGAAAATGGTGTTAATGAGGAGTGTAACAATAAGAAGTTCAAGCATGAAATATTACTTTTATAAGCAAGTGGGGAAAATAAAACTCATTTTTAAATAAAAATTACAGTAAAGTGCATGTTTTGTCGTCATGAATGTTGTCGGTTGAGAGACAGTCAGAAGACAGCCACAATCAGAAAATAAAATAATGAATATTGACTTATGCATTTACGCTGTTGATGAATAATTAGACATTCAGGATACTGTGATTCTTCAGAAAGCCATATTTTCATACTGTGTTTATTCTAAAAAGTATATTATAACCTACATTTCCAGCATGGGAAAAGTGTGTTGATTTGGACAAATGGTAAAGTTACAGTATGAGCAGCCTAAATCTTTAAACATTTTGAGGAATATTACATTATTCTTAAAGGGGTTTCAGAGCATGTCTTTTGATATTCTGAACTGTTGACACCCATATTTCAGATTAATGCTTGAGCACATTCAATTCCTCTCTACGCAAAATGTGCCTCTGTTTCATAGGTGTAAGAAAGCAATTAACCTTTGCTTTTATTTGAATATTGTAGGCATGTATATATTCACAGAGCACAAAAAAACAAGCACCACCACTCTATAATGATATGACCTCATCTGCAACAGAGAGAAACACCAATTTTCAATCTGCGATACAGCTGTGAATTATTTTTATCTATCGATCTTTGATGTGATTGACTAAAGACAGTACTGTAAATCTAACAAGGACTTCTTATTTGCTGATGGTGTTATGACTATAATTAATACTATGAGAATAATTGTCAATTTTCAACTGCTTATTTGCAAAAGGGAGAGGATGTGTGTTCATTTCATTTATATCAAAACTAAAGTTAAGTGTTTAATTTATTCCTGATTGAAAGTCACTGAGACGTAACACAGCTTGCATTGAAATCCCTAAAGGAAAGCGTGTGGCACTCAATTCATGATTCGTTGTGTGTTCAGTGTGTGCCATATATAAAATGGACAGGATCAAACCCAGCAGCTCCTGGACGAGTGGTAGAAGGCGGTGAAGCTCTGTGGAAAGCATACAGATGAACTAGACCTTAATGATTTTTTTTAATTACAAGCAGTAAGTAAAGCTGCAGATGCCAAGTTGCAGCTCCAACCCACCAGGCTGTGTTTTGGCCTAAGGCAAGGCTGGCAGCCAGACCTATTTCTAGTCAGGTAACGTGTAATAAACACCTACCCAGGACATGACTGACAGTGGGTAAGCACAGTCCCTGTGTGAGTCAGTGCTGTTGGGTTTCATTGTTTGCTTTTTGTCTTCTTTGTTTTTTTTCCTACCTGAAGACTGACTGACAGCTAGTTGGGGAAAAGGGAGATTTCTTCCTGCAGGTAAGCTCCATAAAGAAAATAATGTTTATTCAAATAGTGTATACACACATACACCCACACACAAACAAACACGCACCACACAGTTTACAATTGGGTATCACCAATTTCCTCACCTGTCATGTTCAGACCTTCATTTTGTTGAAGGCTGATTTGTTCTGGCAAGTTGCCATGGGTAGCTTTAGTAGGGAAAACCCTGCTTTAAAAAAAAACAAAAAACAAAACATACAATATGATCGCAAATACAGCACCCATCCCAATTCTATGCGCATTTGTGCTATACTTGACAATTAGAAAAGAAAAAATTCTTCTCAGCTTTTTTTCAGACACTAATCAAAACAGTACTTAATGGACAGTTGTGACATTGAGACATTGCAAGCTGTAAATTTAATTTTCTATTATTTGTATTTTAAAACAGTTGTTCTATTTAGATGAAACTAGGCTGTTAGTGAATATCAAGCTAGTTCATGTTTTGTGTGGGAGGCCCATAAGGAAACAAAAAAATGGTTTTCTTTGTGAAAGGTGCATTTGTCAACATACATTGGTTAATATTAAAATACAGAAGATATTTATTGTGTATATACTGTATTCATTGAATTAATGATCCTGACATGTTGCAGATCTTCATTCTTATGCCCAAAACTTACAGTAAAACGCAGTTTTCAGCAACTCAGTTATTTTTAATGTTTGATTTGCCACAAATCTGTGAAGAAGTAAAACAGAAATCCAGTGGGATGGCAGCATTATCGCTACACTGGAATCTTTTTTGTGCTTCTTGGCTTTCAGCATCACATCTGCTAGTTGAGAGAAATACAGTACTGTAGCTGTGCTATATGTAAGAGAAATCCTGTGTGGTTAGATTAATGCAGCTTTGATCAGATATTCAGATCAACAGAAATAATTTGACAAAGGCAGTTTTGCAGTGCCAGACTGAAAACTGCAGTACTGCATTTAATCCTGTGCAAAAGGTAATGGTAAGAGTGATAGAAATGTGTGAGTAAGGCGGAGAGCTATGATGGAAGTCCGTCCTTGTCAGAGTAGATTTCTGACAACTAAGGTCTCTATTTTTTTCCTCCTTGGCTTTCCTTCCAAAAATACCCTTTCTTAAAACACACAACTTCTAGATATAACTTAAATGTCTCAGTACATGTATTGTGTGTATAAGTCAAAGAGTCATCGATTAAAAATGCATAAAGCAAATACTGTTTCCATGAAAAATACATTCAAATACACTTCCTTCTATGTGAATTTGCATTCCTCTGGTGGTTTTCTGCAAACACTGGCAGGACCTCCCTGGAGAATTAAATTGATAGGCATACAGTACTGGTCAGGATTCAGTAGTTACGGTACATGATCTTGCTTCATGGGCATTCTTTGTCCACTATTGAGACACTGATACCATCATGCTTTCCCACACATGTTTTTCTATCTAAACTGAAAGTGCAGCTTTTATATTCACAGCAGGCCAGAGGACTTACAATTACTTTACATGCACAAAAATGCTCACTTAAATCTAAGCTTCCTAGGAGAACTTAAAAACCTAAAACGCATTTTGTACAGTACACAAATTGACTATACTGTATCCATATTGTAATTTGCTTATTAATATTCATACCGATAGCTTTATAGAGATGGCTAAGGAGAATTTGAGAATTCAGTGGAACGTAACCAGAAAATTATATTACATCAAGTGTTCTTCAGTGTTATGGGGCACAGGTGATATTAGATCTGATTATGGATTTTTTTGAGAATGTACTCTCCCTGCTTACACTGTGAAAAAACGTAAGTCAATAAAGACAAACTTATCCATACGCAGATACGAAAAGGAGAAATAAAACAGAAAATATGAAGTTTTGGCAGCATGAAGTAAAATTGACTGGAAAACCGGAATTACTCTTTTGACACTCTTCATTGCTAAGTACTGTAACCTAAACCTTTACTTTGAGAACTGAAAATCTCTTTTTTTGTGTGATTTGTATGAAAGGGTTTTTAGCACTCACACAAGTTTGATATTTAAATATAGTGTTGTTTCCCAGTAAATGTATTACCCGAATTGTCTTTCTGCAGAGTTTTGAAGAAATACCGGTACATGTCTCAGAAGTGATTAGATCATTTTGAGCAAATTTGTTTTTCACATCTCGGTGGGACAAGCCATTACAAAAACAAAAGGAAGCACAGAATTTCAGTCAATGTGCTGTGCATCACTTCAAACTACCATCCTCCCAGTGAAAATACTGGAAATGCAGCTCTGCAGTTTATAAATCAGGTCTTTTTATTGTCTTGCCTGTACCTTAGCACATTTACCTAAATATGTCTACAAACTCTCCCTGGTCGGTGAAACCTCATGACTTTGCTTCTCCTTAGCCTCGACTGTCAAGGGCATTCTTGTGTATAAATTACATCTAAGCAGAAGTGTAAATTGCTCTCTTTTGACAACTTGTTTGTACTGAGGTTACATGCAATATGATGCCTTGTGTATTAATGAAGGCAAGTCAGCTCCAAATTATATCAAGGTCCTTGTAAAACTGAGAAGCACCAGAAATTTTGCAACATCATAATCCTCAATTTAAATGCTGCTTCAGGTTAATCCTTGTAATTTTAAAATGGCAATGCATTAATATTTGTAAATGCACAGTACACACATTTACATTGTTTTTCTCTTTTCACATAGTATTTTACCTTTTTAAAGAGAAACACAAATCTATGATGATCTTCTACTAGAGTATTTTTTCTAATTTTGCTTTATGATGAATGTTAATCATTGCAGATGTAGTTTTTGTAGATAAACAATGAACCTTTTAGCTTGATGGATATGAGGAGAAGAACAGAAGAGACTGTTATATTGGATTGGTGAATGCGATGTCTTTAGCTATTACAGCACTTCAAATTGGTTGCCTGAATGTACTGTAATGTACCTTGAATTGTGGCAATCAAAAGTGTCTGAAGATTCTGAATTGAAGATTGCTAAATGACAAGCTTGGTTTTTCTCATTCAAGCTGAACTGTATTAACATTTAAACTTGTTACAAAGGGGAAATACTATTGAGGCTTTGAGCAAATTGTTGATAACATACTGTACAGTTGTCACAATTGTAATCCCTTCTCTTAGGCGTGCTCTGGCTCTTTCACATTCTTGATGATTTCGTGCACCTGCCTTCAATCCTGCCCCTCCTTATTTAAGTCGGGCGCTCTCGCTACTCCTGGCTCTGATAGAAGACGGAGGCCCGGAGGCCCGCCTACCACCAAGTCGCCCTATGTCCACGGCTAGAGGGCTAGAGGGGCTCATAGCACCTGGCTTCGTTATTCCATTTTTATTCCCCGTCCCTGTACCAGATCCTGTTCCAGTTTTTAGCAGCGTCTTGTTTTCATCTTGGATGGATCTACTGGATTTGGACCTTGGACTTCACCATGGACTTCCCCCTGGACTCCTTGGACTTGTTTGCCATGGCCACACTCCCTGAGCGCCAGTTCACTGTTGTCACGCCCCCCTGTTTGTCAACCTGCCCTGATCTTCGTCGTCTCCTCCCTGTTGTTCTACTCCACTCACTTCCAGATTATACCGTCTGCATAGGGTCCAGAGCTACGCTTCGTTACAACAGTACAAAAACAGTTTAATAAGTTAATTGGTTCAAACAAGCCAAGACTGGCCAATTATAGCATTTGAGCTCTGCAAAGGTTTCGTATTTTTCTTTCAAATTAGGTCTAATTGGAAAAAAAGAAACACCCACTTACTGTAAATACATTTTTCAAATAAATTTAGAAAATTATTAGTTAAATTGGGCTGTGCCTATCAGGTTTTACCAAAAAATGTAAAGCTTTTAAGAGCAATTCACATGTTCAGTAGTTCTTTTTAAACTTATATGAATTTCAAGTACATTCTCTCTTTGTATTCAAGAATTATGAACAGCTGTGGATGGACAAAGAATGGCAGTAAAATACATTTATTTACAGGTATATATTGTGGCCACGAACATAAAAAGATATTGCTGCTCTGAATCAATCCAGTGAAGAGCTACTGGATACATTCCCAGATTTAAAGTAATATCTTACTCTGACAGGCTAAAAAACCTGAATCTTTTTAGTCTTGAACATCTGATTCAAATATTGGAAATTCTCAAAGGTGTTGACAAAGTCAAACTATTGGAATCCTTCAGACCCAACAGCGAAACACAGACTAGAGGACACAGGTAGGAACTATGGAGAAGGGCCTCCTAGTCTCTTTACATTAAGGCCTGTTGGTGTGTGGAACAAGCTACCCAGCCATGTTGTCAAAGCTTCTGGATCAAAATCAGTAACTCAACAAGATAAATTGGCTGAATGACCTCTCACTTGCTACCTTTCCTATCTTAACAAATAGTTTTGTTTTTAGTTCTTTACTGAGTAAATAATATTGATTGCATTATTATTAGAAATATATAGACTTACAGGTAGCAAGAATAAATCTGAACTATAGTTATTGAGTTAAAGAAGAGGGTGTTAAGGTTCTGTTTTACAATAAATGTATTGCAAAAAACAATCACATTTAAAATTGGGGTTAATCAGCAGTGAAATCATCTGTTCTCACTACACTGAAATATAGATTGTGCAGCCTTCCATAATAATGCTTGGCAAACACTCTTAAATAAAGGGCATTGTAAAGGTCAGCAGAGATTTCCTCCCCAGAGAGGGCTGTTTTCTTTTTTTCTCCATTTAAAATTGGAAGGCATGTATTCTGTAATAGGGGCTTAACTTGAGAGGAGTCAAAGACCTATTTGCAGGACACCTTCTAGAGTACTGTCAAAGATCAAATATCTGCTTGAGAGGTGACAAACCCCCAGCATTTTGACAGTATTCAATGTTTAGATGTTTAGCTAAAAAACATCCAAAAGCATAAATGAGCCTCATGTATGAAAATAGCAGCATCCTGTTAAACAAATCCATTAATTATATGGTCTCTGATGAAGAACCAACATCTTGGTTGTAGTCCTATGCACCAAAATCTTGCATTTTTCAAATGTGATTGAAAGCACATGAACATTCTCCACATGGACAAGACTCATTTTACATACAGTACAGTAATGTCCAATTATTTGTCCATTACAATTAGTGAGACAAAAAAGACATAAAACAAAAAAGTTATATATACTGTAAGTATAACTTATACACATAACTATACAGTACATATTGGATAAAATTATATGTTTTCCTCTCTTCATAT